GATGATATACACTGAAACGTAAGCAACATGAGAAAAGTTTTGGTTGTGTTACAAGAAAATCCCTATATTCTATGTTCTACCAATCTGGTGAAACTATTTTCGGTAGATGTGTCAACTCTTTGTATAAACAGACACTTAGGGATGGGCACCGGCTATATATATGTAACATGCAAATTATATATTTCAGCATTTAACCGCCCAAATCGTCAAAATGATGTCATACATTCGTCGTGCTAAATGATGAGGTGTATAAACGTTCACTTCAGCGCTACATACTTCAAGGGGGGGGGGATCAAATCCTTGCTTTCATAAATGTTTTTCCAACAGGGTATAAGAAGTGGCGCAAAGATTGGCAATGTTTCCTTTAGAAGACGGCAGTCCTGCTGAATGTGACCCTGACGGTGCAGGCCCATGCTGCTCCCCTTGAAACTGGTGCGGCAAAACTGATGAGCACTGCGACTGTCGAGGTTGTGTCGACTACAGGAAGAAGTCAGCTGCACGTCTGTACCCTTCATTAATTTTTTTTCTGTGACTGTAAACAGGACTGGAAAAGTTGTGGAATGGGGAACGGGTTTTCTGCGCGTGAAAAAATTGTGCGTGAGGTAACTTAGAAAATATGCAGTACCAAATTCTCAGACAAGAAAATGTTGTCCGGTGGTATAATTTTCCATCTGTTACCTGTTACCTATTTGTGTTTGAAATATTAGCTCCCTTGGAATAGGTTGATTTGCATATACTAGTATTCCATGAAACCCGAACATTTGAAAATTACTTGAATTTGTCAGAAATACAAGGAAAAGTTACTAGTATAATTTTCTGTACTATAAAATGTAACAATTTGAAACTTTTCTTCTTTGTAGAAGCTTGATTTCAAACAGATTCTTTCACGCGCAAATTTAAACTTTTTTTTACAACTTTTAGGCTTAGAACAGCAAAAAGTTTTCAGAATCAGCTAATTTGTATATTTTCACGCACACGTTTTTCACGCACACAAAACCCAATCCCGTGGAATGTGTTGGCAAAGTGAAAGTTTGTTAGACACAATGCCTTAAGTATCCTTCATTTGTAAATCAGACGTCAGGGTTAATTATGCGAGTGGCTCGAGAAAACAAAGTGCTGAAAATTCCCTGCCAAAACATTACTGGATATTGGCAGTTTCCGTAGTTTTTTTCTCATAAGCTTATATAAAATTGTCTCCTTTTCACTTCTTTGCATTTATAATATTCTGTACCTACCAACTTCTACCCACTGATGGCAATTGATACAGAAGACCTTCTCTTCTGTTTTCCTTAAGACCGACTTTGTCGACTCCTCTAGACCGGTGCATTCAAGACAAGTCCAACTTGTACAGTCACTACAGCCTACAAACTCATCCCCATCTTCCTGTTTGATACAGGCAACACACGAACTCGCGGCAGTGATGGATTCAATATCAAATATCAAGAAGGCCGTCAGCTCTCTGTTCGGTAGATGATCTCCTGGGGAGCCAAATTGTTCAGCCACGATTTTTTTTTCTATCATGTGCTAGTGTAAACAATAGCCTGGATTGTGACACTCCTGGCTAATCACTGGTTTACAGCAAGGTTGCAAAGTTCTAGCTACTATCTTACAGCAGCCCAAGGTTAGCATGGGTGCCATTCGATTTGTTGCCGTAATTACAAATCGGATGGCACCCAGGCTAGCCCAAGGTGTCTGGTAGAGACTAATGTGTGGATGGATCTTTTCCCTGCGTTTATACCGGAATCGATCCCCACGTGTATTACATACTTTCGTGTTTAATCTGGACATTATCCCCAACCATCACTTGCTCAGGCTAATGGACATTTTCAAGGAAACACGACCACGCACATGTGTATGTGACATAGACGAAGAGAACAATTTGGATAACATCATTCTTTATTCTCCAGACACGAAAACTCATCAGGTTTATCAAGTAGCAAGAATCTACGTATATCCCTACTTTTACAATCCTGTGGAATAGGCCGTAGGTTTAGGCAGTTGTCTGGTAGCAGAGGTTCTCTAAGCAGATATCCCGGGTATCTGACCGGCGTCAGTAACACTCGCGGTGCTGGCCGCGACTGGCCTGTTCCAGTCGCGCTTAATAAGTAACAGGCACGGTAAGACGGTGGGGCTGTCTTCGTTAATAGAGGGTCTGCATGCCCTTTTTCGTTAACCGCTATGGACTATTTTAATTTACTGTTAATCGTTGCCGGCCCGCTCTAATTCAACGTTAAGCGTTATCAGTATATTCCTCGTGAAGCGTTATGGATCGTTTTAATTCAACGTAAAACGTTATTTGTCATCCTGAATTCAGCGTTAAGCGTTAATGAATAATTCTTCGTTACGCCTAATTTTGCCTTTCAAAGTGCAGGAAAATGCGTCATTGAAGGTTTAAAAATACAAAATTTCCCGGGGGAGAATGCCCGGACCCCTCTACATTGCTCGCGCCTTTGGCGCTCGACTCGCGCTTCTGCCCTCGGTCCCTTCGGCTCTAGCCAGAACCAGTTTACCCTTCAATTTCCGGAAGTTTGCGGAGAGTTACAGGATTTTTTTAACGAATCCGTCAACCTTGACAGGCAAATTAACAAAAATCTCGAGTAAAATATGAAAACATCACAAGGACCGACAAACACTCTCAAACCATGATTTGCCTCTCAAAATGCGGGAAATTGCGTTTTTGAAGGCTTAAAAATCCTAAATTTCCCGGGGGAGCATTCTCAAAATCCATCGGTAAAACTGGGCAGACTGAAAAAATGCAAGCTGGCCGAAGTCAACTCGGACATCCAGGTATTTGTGGACGCACTCGGGGACCAGGGCAGGTGGGAAACACAGGGAACACATGCATGCTTCATTACATGTAAGGTATACGTAATTTTGTCAGTGATCACCTTTTCTCACAAAGCGAGATACCAAATCCAGTGCAGCTCGAAAAAAAGCCTGTCAATTTACCGTTAAGCGTTGCCGACCGTCCTAAATTTACCGTTAAGCGTTATCGGCCCTGCTGAATTTACCGTTAACCGTTGCCAGGACCCCCCCCATGCATGCAGACCCTGATAGTCCGATCTTTATGTGAATGCAATGATTGTGTGTGTAATTAAAATGATCTTCGAAATTGAAGCACAGTATCTTTACACGCCCTGAGAGCAGTAATGGATTTAGGTCTTTTTATGTTTTATGCTTGTGACGCGCCCTCATTGTATTAACCGTTGCCTAATTATAATGTCTGCACAGTAGGTCTGGCGTTGACGCTTGGGATTGTTTTTGTTGAAATATATAAAACTTCACGGAGGATTGTCACCTATGGCTTCTTGTTTTAATTTAATTTAGTTCACCTTGTATATGGTTTTTTGTGCGAAATGAATAAATAAAAAAAATACCTGGGAAACGATAGTATGATTTTAGCAGAAGATATATTATAGGATTCTGAGATTATGATTAAAACAACAGAAATAATCTTTGTATTAACAGCGTACGATAGGACCACTTGATTGTAGCTGTTGTCATGATTTTCTGTCCATTTTGTGAGTATACATTCAGGCTGAAATCACTTATACCAAGATTACAATGTACTTCTCATATAGGATCGTTGGTTTTGTTATTATGAATGATAGTGATATATAAGGCCAGACCAATTTAATTTGCTGGTTCTCGGATTTTTTCAGAAAAAGTATGAAGCGACAGGGCGAAAAAAATAAAAAATAAAAACAAAACAAAATAAAAGGTCTAGGCATCCTATTATAGGCTTAAATGCTACAAAATGAGCCATGAAGTCAACACAAAAGGCTGGGTTAAAATTTAAACATTGAATTTTGAACTTTTAATCAAACCACTGCAATGATAGATGGGAAAACTGTAACAACTAGGAAGAAAAGGACTTTCCTCAACTGTTGGGGGGCAAAACATGAGCATTTTTCAGTTGATTCAGGACCAGAATCAATTTTTTTTTTTGCAAATCAGAAAAAAACGAAGAGGCGAATCCGAGAACCAACAAATTAAATTGGTGTGGCCTAATGATGAATGCAGTTTTAAAAAAATTGTCTTTTTGCTCGATTATAATTACTGCTGTATTCTGTTTTAACCCTAAACTTGTAGCTTTCAGTGTTCTTACTAACGTTACCTGTAACACGAATAAACAGAATAAACATTTGCTGTGTTAAGAATGTATTTGTATCCTTCGTCTATTGCGTCTGAATGAATATGTGAACATACGCACACAGAAATCCCTGTCAACAAGTAAAACAACAAGAATTTGTTTTACACTACGTGTATATGATGTTTCAACTGGTCACACGTTTCCAACACACGTAGTAGTTAATAATCCTGATCAACAAATACAAGCAATAGGTCTTATCCGGTGATTCAAAGTCAGCATGGCTGCAGTACCACCGAAGGCCAACTAGTGGCGCAGCAGGACAGTTTTGCCACCCAAGGAGATAGTACTCCGCCCTTGGACAACCAAGGAACTTGGCTGCGGTGAAACCAGGGCGTACTGTCTAGCTAGAATCAATTGTAGATGAAAAGAGTGTGCTTTTAGTGTCCTTGATGGCCAACGCTGCTCAGTTTCAATCAAATTTTATACCTCCATGGTTTCAATCTCTAAGTATTTCACGTGACTTTAATATGTCAACCAAGATTCCCGGTATTATTTGAACAGGTGGAACGGCCCCAACAGATAGAAAAAAATTGGATAGAAAATTTTCTCTTTTTTTTTGACGAGGAACCACCTGACCGAAAAAAGTCAAGTGCAAAATTTCCCTTTGTAGGAATGGGCCCGTCTGTACAGGTGAATGATGGGTATTTGCAGTGACAAGGCAGCGGCGGATGAATATGAGAAAATAAAATCGATCTACTAGCCATTAGATTCAATGAATGAATTGTAAACAGATACAATATTATATTTGTATAATTATGATAAATCATGAAACTTGATCTTATTGAATCAGACGGTTTTGTTGACGCTGAGTACCATGACCGGTACTATTTTCTGTAGGCGTGTCCATCCGCGATTCTACTTCCGCCATGTTGTAGGGAAATGGTGGAAGTAGGCAGGAGGAAGCGACAATTTTCCTGCACGTCGTCAGCTCTTTCACGGAAACCCCGCCACTGAGACAGCCCGGCCCGGCTGAGGAAACGTCCCGGGGATCCAGTAGACTGTTCTAGTCATCTTTCATCGCTTCTTGTTCCTGTGGATTTGCGAGGTAAGTGAGGAAACTGTTGGTGACCTACCGCCGGCCGTACGGCGCTGTATGGCTGTCTGCTACATGACATCATACTAACAATCATGCATATATTTGCCTGCGAATATAATCAACCAGAAACCTCATCGTACCGTTTATGTAACATCCAAATCCTCCGTACTTGTTTAGGAAACCTCAGGCTTCCTCATTACCATGTTGACCGCTTTCTTTCTTATCTTCTCGTGTTATTTTCGCAAGTCTGCATCTTAGCGCCACGACCATAATTTAGTTGACTTGCCAGTGTCGTAGGACAGCTCAAATCTCATATCATGTAACCAGAGACTTTCCCACAGAACCTATTTATAGTTCATAAGCAAAATTGATATAAATAGACGGGTTAGGGCTCTGTTTTCTTCCACGTAATACACAGCGAAACCCCGTTTTGAAAACACGACGTTGGTACATTTTTAGTTTCACTTTAGAATTAAAGCAAAGACAAGATATGTCATGTGCAAATTGAGGTTGACGTTTTTAGATAAAATATATGTATACACCGTTCTATGTAATAGTCTAGCCCTAAGGCCCCAGACAAATTAACACACAACTGTGTAATATTCAGAGTTTTTACAGTGGCTGCTGTGAGGGGGGCAGAATGAACCATGATTATTCATAATGTCATATTGCACACAGTGGTTCAACCATTCAGTTCTACTACCTGTTAAAATTGCAATAGTCAGTATCACTGGTTTTGCATGATAATGTTACAAGGTGTTTGTTTTTGTTTTGTATTTACAGCTTGTATACGATATGTGGCAACGTGTTACTCATTAACATTTTTTCCAAGCTAGGTCACACACCACCACATTTCACAAATTACACATTGGCCATTTAGAGCTCTGTCTGTGATAATTTTGTAACTTATATACACATCTATAAAGCAGATATAATACAGTTTTTTTTCAGTCTTTCAAGAGAATATCATTTCATTTTTTGTGTTATTTAATTGCCATAAACAGTCTAAGGACATATATTGAGGTATGATGTCATTCTATAAATAATGATATGTTTTTTTGCCTCATATTAATGTAGCAAGTGTTGGTAGCCCCTTTTTTCTATGACATGGACGTATATAACTTATAAGTGGAAATCATTGTTATTATGTTTTGGCGTGATTTGGTCTCCATGCATGGTTGAGTTAACCGGTAATAATTTCTGCATGGAAGCGAAAAGAATTCATTACTTGGGCATGACAATGACCAGTTTGCCTGTGAGATAATGAGGCTGTTATGTCAAAGTAATTGTCGTTATTTCTCAGTCATTGTCGTTATTTCTCAGTCATTGTCGTTATTTCTCAGTCGTTGTTATTTCTCAGTCATTGTCGTTATTTCTCAGTCAATGTCGTTATTTCTCAGTCAGAGCCTTTGTGCATATGGAGAGTCCCTATTCTAATCTGCACTGCAGTACTTGATAAAATCAATGCAGGCTCATATGTTATGTATGTATGCAGAAATGGACCAGACAAAGAACGCAGGACTCTATGGTTTGGGTTAGGACTGATCCCAATCTAAAACTGTGATCAAAATACATCATACAAGATAAATCAAGCATCTGGATAAATTCTCTGAGGATTTGGATGTTTTCAGTGATAAAAGATAGCGGATACTATCTGAATACATCAGACTCCTCAGAGATTATGTTCATTTTGTATTTTGTATTACGTAATGTTCTACTGAATATCTGGCCTTCTTGAACTTGAGAGCAAATACTATATAATATTATGATATGTGTATTTTCTTCCCTATCCTTTCTTTTGGGAAAAATGTCAACAATTTCCAATATCAGGGTATGCTGATGATCACATTACTAGTAATGTAAAATTTTATACCAACAAATCTGGGAATTATTTTTCCCAGGTTGTTTAGAAGTTGTAGAACTCTTGCTACCCTATACTGTATGTCTTATACCACTATACTGGTCAGTATATGGCAAAGGACCCACCACCACATAATTTTTGATTTTATCAGAATATGCAATTTTACCTGAATATGCAAAGCATGGGCCTACTGTACTGTTTCGGCATGTTGATCATGCTTAATGGTAAAACAAATGGTTGAGCAGGTTCCACGTGTAATGTACTACTGCATGACTGCGTGTTGTTGTGTCACAGGTTTGTTAAGTTCAAAGTACATGTAGTTTCCCAGTATTAGGGAGGGTCTGCATGCCTTTTTTGAGGTGTAGAGACTAGTAGTGGGCAGCATGTATTCACAGTTACCTTTATTAGCCTAACACTTAAATTCATCGTTAAGTGTTGTCAGGAAATTCTTTGTTAAGCGTAATTGACAATTTAATTCCACATAGCATGTTATTTGTTCCTAAATTCATTGTTATTAATTATTGAAAAACTCATTGTACTGTCTACTAGTAGTTGAATGCTAGACTGCCAAAATTCTATTCAATATCGTGTAACTAAGATCTGCAGACTAGTTTTGCTAGGCACTGCACGAATACAACAAAGCAAAGTAAATGCTTATTTACAAGTACTGCTAAGCATTGTCGACCTCCTGAATTTGCCATATTATAATATAAAGCATTGCAAGGACCCCCTCCCCCCATGCAGACCCTCATTTCTTCTTAGAATCAGTGTAGAGTTTGAGTTGTGGTTATCTAGAGGAGCCCAGAGTTCAAGTGGCCACCTCTGGACTTATCTTACCAGTGTGGTATTTGTTGTTTAATAAATCAATAACCCTTGATACAGAAAAATAAATGTGGACCAACCCACTACAGTGTATTGCAAGGATCTTTATCTACAATGTACATAAACTAATTATGAATATGAACAAGCAAGGCCATAATATTTTTTGACTGGAATCTGAATTTCAAATCATTGGAAACACTATTTCAGGCATTTCCAGAAGCAACTTTTTTTCTGTAAATTAGGTAAAACAAGCAAACAGACTAGGTCCTGAAGACAGCCCTATGCATTCACAATCACATTTTCAGTTTTACTTTGTTAAACTATATTTGTTGAATAAATTCAACTGAAATCTTGAATGACACAAAAAGAACCTTACCTACCAACCCTATTATTTCAGCTATGAAATCAGGAAAACATTTTCCTTTTGACTTAGCAAATTTCTAATCAGGGACTTTCTGCAGTTCAGGATACATCAACAGGAGGTGCTTTTTAACAACCTTGGCAGTCAAGTGTCTAGTTGGCACTTGTCCTTGTGTTTGTTTGTATAGGCTTACAAAATGGGCTTCACTTTATACATGTAGCAACTTCTTGTTGACCTTGGCATCCAGTAGTTTATAAAACATAATGACTGCTTGAAAACTCTTGTGTTAAGCTTAAGTTAAGGCAGACCCAAAGCGATTTCATTGCAGTAAAACTGATTTTCTAGTTTTTTTGGTCATATTATTACGTAAAACAATGTCTGACAATGTACATGTAGTAAGTTGAATCAACCCTATCCTGTAGCATATTAATATCTGTGAGGCAAAAATGTGATGTCACTGACAGTTTTGTATCGTAGGATATTTAGCTATTATATATCATAAAGGGACTGCTCACATAGATTGTGTTGGGTCTATTTCAAACACTTGAAGTATGAAATTGTGCTTTAAGAAATGCTAGTAAAGGTCAATGTCAAAATCTTTCCTCATCCAAGATATTTTGTTTTGTCACTAACACAGTAACAGTTACTCCTGTTTTTACGATGTTGGTATAATATAGGATCCATTAAAAAGGCTATAGCAGGGCAGAAACAGTGCTTGAGCCCAAGAGGGGTGTTGCTCATGATCTGAGTCAATTGTGAAAAGTGTTGTTGACTTGGAATCTGAAGGTTCTGGGTTTGAATCCCTTGCAAGCACTATTGTTGTGCCCTGAGGAAATGCACTTTACACCTATTTCTTTACTTGACTGGGGTGAAAATGTGCACCTAGTAGCTTTGGTTGGAACATCTTTTCTTATAGGACATAAGAGTCAAGAGGTTCTGTATTTGAGGAGAGCCACACCTCAAGTATGTTAAGGAGTAGAGGTTTGTGTCAGTTGATAAAACCTTACAGTCTAGTCTCATGTTATGCCTAAAGGCAGTTTACTCCAAAGAAGGACAAGAACAAGAACAACGGATAATTTACAGGACATTTTTTTGTTAATTGAAGGTAACATTTTGATAACTTGCCAACAACGCATGGGAGAAAAAGTGTATACGGATCCCTTGTTGTACCTAAGCCAGCTGGACCACATCATGTAACAAGAGTTTTGCTCTATTTAATGGTGCAGTTCAGGTGATGCACCATCTGTTCTGGAACATTCCATTGGCCAAAATGTTTAGGGGGCTACAGGTCTTCCTTGACAAACTATATTTTTGGTTAAAGAAAATTCTGTCTATTTTAGGCATGTATCCAAATGTCTTTATGGCTTATATTTCTGTATTTGTGAGAACAACATAATTCTAATTTCTTTTGTATGAAGTGATACCATGCATTGTCTGAACACTCCCTCCCCGTATGGGTGAGTGGATGGTTTGTTCCCAGTAGCCAGTGTGCCCACAGGAAGTGAGTAGTCACGCTCGCTGTGCCCAGGACAGTGGACAGTTGTCTGTTAGCGGAGCCGTACAGTACCTGTACCTGTTCTGCTGTAGTACAGACATCATGGAGAAGGTAAGGTGGGGCAGGGAATACCTGGGAACAGGTAGGGCAAGAAAATATCACATGCAACAGGAATAGTTGTACACTGTAATTGTAGTGCCCAGGGACATTTTTCTGGGTGGTACAAATGTACTATGCTACAATTGTTACACATGTTTATATGTTTGTAAGGGTATGCTTGTTTAAAAAATCATTTTTGGGAATAGGACACTGGTGCACCTATGTTATTACTTTAGATGTTCCAGTGTACAACATTTGTATAAAGTACTACTGACATGTACTAGTGGAATGTCAAGAAAACCTTAGGTAGTTACAAACTTTGAGTACTGCCTATCTTCAGAGCTTCAATCTGAAATTCTATATCTGTCAAA